TAAATATATCAGTTAACTTCAAACCCCAGAATTCCATAACATGGCAGTTAATTTCACCCAATGAAATTTTCCTTTAGTCCCCAAATTTCTAGTCTTGCAGTAACTCAAAATTTTAGTTAAGCATTTTGGAACATAGTTTAGGCATCTAAAGAAAAGTGACAGGCAAAGCTCCCCAGGGAATGAAAACACAGCAACAGAAGCATTCTAGACATGAATGATTTTCAGTGTCTCATTCTCTGCAATGATAGAAATTTGGGGACAGAAGGAAAATTTCATTTGGGGAGACAGAATACTCTCAATTCACCACCCCTAGCATTAGTTCAGTGGGGCATCCCTTTAAGTCATTTCCCCCCTCAAAACAAGAAGTAAAAGATGCAACAACAACCAAAAACAAGTCCATACTTTTAGAGCGCAAGGCCCACAAGTCTCCAAGGGGCTGAAATGTATTTATGTGTACTAGTTTTAGTTGTGCGTCCACTCACTGGACAATACACACAGAGAGAGGAGAAGAAGATGGAGGAGGAGGAGGAGAAGGAGTGGATTCAAACAAATGGCATTCAAAATGGAACAAGTGGTCATAGGAAAAAAATGTGATGCTCAGGCTGCCAGTTTTTGCTAACCTATTGTTGCTATGCCTTTACTTGCAGGTCGGAGGGCACATGTTAGCAGTTTTAAGCACATGCACTGAGGTGCATTGAATAATTCAGCATCTGTAACCTTTTGATTTCTTCTTATCAAGCCTCTGTTAAAGGCACAAGAGAAGATCAGGATCTCTTTTTTCTGGTCAGCTGACAATGTTATTCACAATCTGCTGGTAGAGACACTAAGTGAAGATAATAGTCAATAGTGCAGCTGGTTCATAGGTACTCCCACTAGAGAAAATAATAGCTGTCATAATAGGTAGTGGAGCCAGAATGGTGCACTAGAAACACTAGAACACTAGAAACCCAAATTTAAATTCTGCATAGAAACTTACTGGGTGATTTTGGCCAAGTCAAATACTCTCACCTCCAAGGAAAGCAAAGGCAAACCCCAGGTGAGCAAATTTTGCACACACACAATATCATGATCTAAGTGAGAAATGACTTGAAGACACAACAACAATAGGTAGTGGCAAGTGATGTCTTTTGACAGCTGTGTGGCAGACAGATAAACGCAATACTTAGCTGACCCTGGGATCAGTCCCAAAATTGTAACAAGCAGTGCAACATGATGCTTTGAGGGTCCCCTTGAACTGCAAGATTCATTTGCTGCTCTTAGGAGTTTGGAAAGAGCAATGCAACATACCAATTAGAAAAAGGAGCAGCCATGATCTGACATCATTCTTCAGTAGTGTAAATGTACACTCACGTAATTACATGGTGGCTGAACTATATTACCCTCCTACTGAATTGTGCCACCAATTGCCTATCTGCAAATGTGCCCCCTGTTTCTGCAATTCCAGTGAATCAAGGGGCACACTGAAGGCACTGATGAGTTGTTACACTCAATCCCAACATGTACAACTGTGTGTGCTACAGTTATACTTTGTAACTCCACTTATGCAACTGTGTGTGGACGTTAGGCCATAGCCAAAAGATAAAACTGTATGGATAAAACACCTTAAAGGTAAAAGTAAAGGTTTCCCTTTGACAAGATTGTCTAGTCATGTCTGATTGTAGGGGATAGTGCTCATCTCTATTAGTAAACCAAAAAAGCCAGCTTTGTCAAAGGCAACTCCATGGTCGTGTGGCCAGCATGATTAAACACCATGGCACATGGAACGCTGTTACCTTCCCACCAAAGTGGTACCTATTTATCTCCTTGCACATTTACATGCTTTCAAATTGCTAGGTTGGCAGAAGCTTGGACTAGTCATGGAAGCTCACTCCATTACGCAGCGCTTGGGTCTCGAACTGCTGATCTGACAATCTTGCGATTGTCAACCTTAACTGCTAGGCCACCACTTCCCTTATAAGAGACCTTACATGTGCATAAAACACCAACAGGATACCAGACAACATTTATATTTTGCTGTAAAGGCCAAAGCACTTCTTTTTG